TAGGATAGTAAAGACCAGATATGATTTCACGATCCAGGCGTGTATTTACCATTCCACCAGTGACAATACAATATACATCCACAAAATTATCCAAATTTGCACTACTCCACCGTTTTTCAAGTTCCCTAGCAAATAGTAAGCAAGCTAGCTTAGAATTTTTGTAGCTAGTTGACGCTTGCCAGTCCTTTTCGGGAGCGGCTGAAAGGGGTTTTGAGACACCATTCAGCTGTCCATGCTTTGCTAGAGCAGAACTGACGATAACTATGCGCGGTTTTTTGTTTTCTTTTTGAAAGGTACGCTTGAAAGTATTTTGTAACATAATTGTAAGCACAAAGTGACCAAAAAAGTTGACAGCCATATTCGCATCAATATTGTCTAGCGCGTTATTGTATCTTGGTTGAGTCGACATAATACCTGCATTATTTATTAATAAATGCACAAGAGTATCCTCTGGCATCGATGAAACAAAAGATTTAACCGATTCGAAGTCTTCCAGGTCGAGTTTCAAAGTAGACACGTTTTTATTCCCAGTTTCTAGTTCTATCCTGTTCTTTATTAGTTCTCCAGCAAGCATATCCCTGCATCCTAGTATGAGCTTCCAGTGACGTTTAGCAAGCTCAACGGCAGTTGCTTCGCCAATACCTGAAGTTGCTCCTGTTATGATGGCAGTATGATTAGAAGGCGAAGCGCAATTACATATTCGGACACTCCCCTTAAGCATTTTCCGTAGCATTACAATAGTGGCTCCGGCAAGTGAAATGATGCTAATGGACAATGATAGGATAGAAACCATGCGGGAATAAAAACCATTAAAGAGAGAAACGAAAAGCGCGGACAACAAGAGATCGATTTTAACATCATAAGTAAAAAAATAAACTAGCTATTAAATAAATAAATTAAACAACAATCCAGCGTTTAAATTTTAATTATTTTATAAAGAAATTCTTACAAAATCGATTTTATTTTTTGTAGTTGGAGTCGTGGTAAGGATAACTTTTACTTTTACAACTATGTAGCGACTAAACCGCATTAAAAACATCAGAAGTGTGAGCAAACAGTGAGACAAAGGTCTTTAGAATCAGAACAGGAAATGTAATCTTTGACAAGTCTATTTAGGAACCGTATTGCATATAGACGCTAATACACGCAAATATGCATTCTCATACAATCGAGCAAAAAT